AAAGAGATGAATGCACATATGCTTCCAGGATGGCCTTGGGGACTGCCCCACCCTTGGAGACTTAACCCCTGGGTCATAACTTTGAAATGGTTAAGATCCCCACCCCAAAACTATATATACAATTGTTGGGCATAAAGAGACAAATGCAGTCATGATATTAGAATTGACCCCAGGGTTTGCCCCACCCTTGCAGACTTAACCCCTGGGTCATAACTTTGAAACGGTTGAGATCCCCACCCAAAAACTATATATACAAATGCTGGGCAAAAAGAGACAAATGCAGTCATGATATTAGAATTGATCCTGGGGTCTGGCCACAACCATAGGGACCTAGTTTCTGAGTCACAGATTGGAAACAGTTGAGATCCCCACCCCATAACCATACATAAAATTGCTGGGCATGATAAATCGAATACAGATATATATGCTACAAGGATTGGCCTTGGGGTCTGGCATATTCCCATGGATCTCATTTGGAGAATATTCTGCCATGATTGCTTAGATATCCAGGTAAGCGATACAGGCCCTATGGGCCTCTTGTTTAAGTTTACCATGTTAACAAAACCCAAAGAGTGTATAAGTGCTTGGTACAACTTGCTATAAAGATCAAGAATACACAATTTATTGTATACTGTACTTAAAAATATGTTCTATTTGTATTATTTGGTTTTATTATATGCTTGAAAATTTCTCGCAATCACATTGGCCGGATCCTATACACATGACCAGTCCTCAAAAACTCATGTAGACTGGTTATTCGGTGAATATCAATTTCTAAATATAGCCTATATGGAAATTCCCTGGAACCTGTCGTAGCGCATGCGCAGTTAGAACGGAACGTGATATGTCAGACGAAAACAGAAGATGGCGGATGGTGAACTCTTTGCCTCCGTTACATCTGAAAATATACAAACTACTAGAAGATAAAGATGCTGGTAACACAAAAAGGACACCGAACACGCAGTGCGTGTCATCCATGCTTACCTTAAGGAAAAGAATCTTAACGATGTCTCCAAAAACCGAACTGTTGGATTCAACCCTGGCTAAATTTTACACGGAGGCTCGTTCAAGTAAATGTTAACTATACAAAATCTTATTGTTGAGGCATATAATAAAACAGTTATGGGCTTTTGTGCTGGTTAGTATAATGTGATATGAACCTGAAAAAAGGGGTATTGACCTCGGCATAGCCAAGGTCAGTATCACTTTTTCAGGTTCATATCACATCATATTCACCAGTTATTGTGGACCGAGGAGGATCCAGATGACAGATCCAGCTGTCAGGCAGTTCTTGAGAAACTGGAGGACATCTTGGAGGAAATGTAAATGGACTGAGAAATTGAAGAGATCATCATGAAAATGATCACCGATGGAGTCGAAAGTCATCGAACACAGAATAATTACTTTAATTGTATAATATATCATGGTGTGTGGCTTTGAGCTTGTGAGGTCTCTGAAATGAAAATTCACTACATCTATCTAATATAAATTGGAATCTTATTTTAAAGCCTTATGATTTATGTCCTATCATTATCTTATAGTGATCAGTTATCTCATTTTGTTCTTTTAGATTCATTGACATGGGTCTAGCCTCATTCAGAAGAGGTCACCGGTTCTCGGATGATCCAACCTACATGGATCATTGCAATAACTATGCCGCAGAGGTTAGACTAGGCCACTTCTCCACTCCTGCCTCTGACCTCTATGCAGTCGGGTATATGGTGAACGAGATCTCTGAAACCATCGGAATCATAGAATTAGATCTCATTGCTCAAATGTGTACTGAGGAGGATCCAGATGACAGATCCAGCTGTCAGGCAGTTCTTAAGAAACTGGAGGACATCTTAGAGGAAATGTAAATGGACTGAGAAATTGACGAGATCATCATGAAAATGATCACCAATGGAGTCCAAAGTCATCGAACACAGAATAATTACAAACTTTGAATGGGTCATTTATAACTGAAACACAGAATAACTACAACTTCACTTTGAAGAAAGCATTCATAACTAAAGCATAAATAAAAAACAGAATCATTTTGAACAGATCCTTTTAAAACTTATGTAAAAAATAATTATAAAAATACTTTGAAGAAGTCAATTATTATAAACTAAAACTAACAATATGATAACAAAATTCATTTGATAGGTTAATATACAACCAAAGCAAGGAATAACTGCAATATTACTAATGGAAGAGGTAATTTATCATTCATCAAAGATATTAAAAACATTACAAAATTTTACATAAATTAATAGAAATGAAACAAAGAAGATGGAAAGTTTAAGAAAAACAAATTTTACAGTTTATCTCTTATATATCGCAGTTATGATATTGAAATCATATAAATGAATTATTCTGATCGTTAATATAATCTGGTACCAAAGTTTCCCATTAGTTGCTTGACAGACCAGTAGGTCACTGGATTGAAAATGTGAGTTTTTTACGCAGTTTATTTTTTAGATTTAATTAATTTTTGGCACGGTAAAGATTTATAAAAATAATTAAATACATTGGCATTTTTCACCATTATACCAGTGTGATATCAATAGCAATAATCAACATTTTAAATGAAATTAATTCAATTTTAATACAAAATTTTCTTATTTGAAAGGCTATAATCTAACCTTGGTTTAATTACCTTTACTATCTAATGTATTGTTTAGTGCTACTACCATTGTATTGTTTTACATGGTATACAGGGACAACTCTGTAACATGGCTATCTGTGATCAACTATATAAACGTTTTTTTTGTGATAAACTATATTGTTCGTATATTTTATATAATATTCAATCTATTAAGTTTAGTTAACATGTGGATTAATTTTATAATTTTTTAATAGCAACATACCACATGTTTTAATTAAAATACAAGTATATTGAGATATATTTTATAACAATTTACCTGCATGCATTTTTTTTAAAATAATTGCATATGAGTGTACATGCACATCGAAATACTGTCTGTATTTTTTATTTTTTATTTTTTTTATTGTTATTCAATAAGTTTAACCATCTTCATGTGAATTTTTTAGTAGTCTGGATAAAAGATGAGTTCCTGAAAACAAATTTGAGTGAAATTGATGAGGTCATGAACCTTGAACTTGCAGTTGACCCATCTCCTCTAAAAACTGATTTTACCTTTTTTTTGAAAATACATACATTTATTTATATTAGTAATATTTAAGAACATTTTCCCGGTTGATTTGAGGGAACTTTTTGTCTGATCTTCAGATATTGACATCACTAAACTTTACTTGTATTCTAATTTACCATGACCTTTTAGAGTCGTGTGATGTTTATTTTAGTTTGGGCAAAATATGCAAAAATTGTTGGTCTAAATTGTGTATAAATATGTAAATCATTTTTTCAATCTTTTCTTTTTTCTTTTTTTTTTAGGGTCTGAATTCCATGATGAGATAGATTAGATTGGGAGACAGGTCAATTTAAAGTTCCTAACTTTAAAATCATTTCAAATTTTCAGTTGTTAGTACCTTAGAAGACAGATTCTATGGGAAAGCAACCAAGGGCTTTCGGAACTGTTATATAGGCTGACCGCCATTTCATTTACGAACGACTCAGTACGGTTAGGTTAATTATAGTCAAAAAGGGATGAGTCGGGATATTTTTTCGGTTATATTAGAGACAAATCAAAATTTATTATTTTGTTTATTCTGATGTTACAATTTCTTGCATGGTTCTCACACGAACAATTCTCAGGTCAATGAATGCCTGGCAACAATTTTACAAGTGAAGTTTTATTTGTATTACATTATGTATCATAAATGTAATACATGTCAGTGTCAGATCAAAGCTGGAGATTTAGAAACTATTTGTTAATGTACCACTTTTCCTAATCAGAGTTATGTTAACTTTTTGAAAGTTGTTGAAAAATAAATTGATATTTTTACTAAATTGGTTAACCAATAAAGTAGAAAATAATTTGAAAATAATCTTCAAAGGAACTCATCTTAAAACCCAGATCAAAATTATTGAGCTTAATTTTTGAAAATATTTGGAATTCACTATGAAATATATTCATTGTTTACATGTTTAGAAACTAATATTACAATATAACTTGGTGCTGACCTGTACTTGTTTACAAAGTACTTTGTTGTTGTTTTGAATAAATACTATTGCATATTGTTTCTCCTGTATTTGTTCTTTCATCTGGCCATTGCCGATTTTACTTCAGTGCTTTGGAGGCAACCAGATTTTCATACACCAGAGATATCATCTTTGAAATCCAAGGATTCTAATATTGTTACATATATCTTTACGAAGTCCTAGGGTAGAGCCAATGCTGAGGTGAGTACATAGTGGCGGACTGGTGTCCTTTGCTTGGATACCAGAAGGTATGCAGAGCAATTGGAGAGTAAGGGCAAACCTAAAAGGGTAGATCAATCACTAAGGACTGGTTTTCTTGTATTTATTAGTGTGGTCTACCGGTTTCACCCGAACATTGGGCTTCATCAGGGCAGTTTGACTACAGTTTTTTTCACCTAAAGCACTAATATTATGGATGAGTTTGTATAGTAACATACTACAATGGACTATTGTTAACATACCCAATAATGCGGGCACATATTATTGTTCTACATATATATATGTGTATAGTGACATCATCATCAATGGCAGAAATTGTGACGTCATAAACAATACCACGTAGGTTGTGTTTTACATATATCTTTTATGCAACATTAGAATACAGCATTGGCATAATCACAGGTTTGAGGTAAGCTATTTGATTTGTTTAAGGCAAAAAACCCTGACCAAATGCAAGGCTCGCTGATACCTGTCTTTTGAAGATTACACTCACTCAAGAGGAACTACACCAAACTTGAAATTCTGTCAATGTTATCATAACACTACTACTCATTCCATTTGTTCTAGATCTTCATCAAAGACTTCTGCAGACAAGCTAGTCTACTTGTACCACTTACAAGGTGGCAAGTACACAGAGATATATTGATCCCTTGCATTTATATATAAAGATGGAACATATATGTTTATATATAGTATGGTACAATGTTTTCTGTCATCCACCTGTTCTTTTTGTCTGGACAGCTCCTTAAATCTTATTAAAATTAGATTTTCACAATGCTCCCGTATACTGCTGTTCATCATATGGAAGATCTTCCACACAACAATAGTAAATGGGAGTGATGCGTCAAAGCTCTGATTTGGATTGACTTAAAATACTCCTTCACTTTCAAGTGATATCCCTTAATTTTAACCTGTTCAGGTAAGCCATTAGTGTCCTGCAAACTTGTCAAGACAACTATACTAGTAGTTCATCAGTTTTCATTGGATTTCCTTGGAACTTGCTCAGGTTTACTTTGATCATTGCTAGTTGTGTATGTGTTTCAGAGATAACGGTAACCTTGATTGATGTTGATCATGAGCATTCAAAATATAGACTTTTATACATATAAGTAAATATTAGCAAAAGTTATACCTTCATGTATTAAAATGGCCGAAGAAATGTGAAGATTGGTTAAAAAAATTGTTTACAATCTCAAAATTCAAGAGCTGCAGAAAGAATATTGTATCATGCAATTGGATTAAATAAGTAGCAGTGCATATTCTTTATTCCACATGATATTTGAGACATGTTTTTCAAAAAGCAGCTGGAGCAATGCAAGATATTTACATTACATAATGTATTTAACCCGATTAAGTTTGTCACTTAAAATTTCTTCAATAAAAAAAGGAAAAGCTTTTTGTTCCAAAGTCAGAATCTATGTTTTGGCAATTTTCAAATATATATGTTATTAAGACATGACTTAGGCCTAATTGCCAAATAAAATTATCTAAGTTGAAAATATTCAATGTTATGACATTAATTTGTTGAAAGTAGTCGATTTTCAGTTACCGGGGTGATTGTTTTATAGCTTAATCATTAACTCGTTCAAATCTTCTTTTTTTAAAAGTTATAAATCCGGATTATTTATCCCGGTACAACTTTTTGATTAGTTTTAAAATGGCCGTTCCCATGCCCTATGAGTTGACAGAGACTAGCTTGATATAGCCACGGAATTAAATGTTATTTAAGTCCGTGATATAGCGTAACATCATGGACAGGTTCAAACAGTCGACAATTGCACGAGGTTTTAGCAGATTGACATCCAGATACAGAATATTTATAGATGGAATACCCTTTCTGGTGAGTATTAGCAAAAAAACCCGGTTATTTGACAAAATATCACATTAGGCACTCGGCTGGGTTGCCGAGGTCTCGTGGACTTATGCTAGTTCAAACAGTCAACGTTTAATCCCAAGTGAATCAAGCCTAGAATTTCACAAGTCATATCTACACATGTGCTGGGCACACAGAATCACATATTAACAGTTTAGCCGTGTCGAAATGTGGAAATGTCTGCGTTGGTTAAGGTATTTCATACAGGCTCATGGATATGTCGGTGTATATCGTCTAGACACCAGTTTCCGCGCGTTATGTGTTTCCGCGCAGCCATTTTATCAAGCTATATCTCGTAACTACGTGACCTACTGGACACAACACAAGGATATTTTAGAAGTTTGGCCATCGTCTGTAAACTGACACAAAAATTACCGGAAGTTCGTCCGGAAAACATAAGATTTAATCACTGAATATTAAAAAACACGCATAAATATGCAGTTTTGCTTAATGCTCTTTTTATCTTGCTCAAAATGAACCCATACCTGAAAAAACGGTGATATATTTCATTCATGAACCAGTCTTTTTTGTAGTCTGACAAACGTACGAAAATGTTGTATGCAAATGAGGCCATATCTCCTCGCCGATTTTTTTCCACTTCCGAAGAGCCAAAATGCAAGGAGACATTCTTATATCGATAAACAGTGTTTTCAATGAAATGAAACCTTGTAGGCTAATGCAATGAACTTCCAATTTTCACCAATTTGAAACAGAACAAAATGAGAAATATCTTACGATCAACCAAAACCGATATAAAACTGCAGAAAAAAATAATAACAGATTCTATATCATAACTAAATAAATATAATATTTTTAAAAAAAAAAATACATGAATTCGTTCAATTTGATATCTTGAAAAATAAATTAAAAAGGTGAAATTTAAAAAAAGGTTGTTTTGATAATTAATTTGACGATCAAAGATATATTTTTTATTCCAAACGAAGCTTTTGTTCTTGCAGGTCACTGTAGAGAATTTCTTTTTAGTGTATTCGAGTTATCTTTCTTTGAACACTAAATCAAAATGGACACACGGAAACATATGACGGCTACTTCCGACAGGAGAAATTTGCTAAAAATTGTTTGTTCTGATTTTTTTCAAATACAGTTTTATGTTGCGAGTTTTTTGTTTCCTTTAGTATGCATGTTTATGACAGTCTTCCGTAAATTGAACTGTTTTCTGCCGATATGAGTACGAAATCGCGGATGCTTCTTAAGTGCGCGGAAACCGGTAACCCGAGGATATAGTATGAGATTGGCTCATAACTTTTCCTCAAAATGATAAAAATGTGGAAGTTGGTTGGTTGGTTGGTATACCCATGTCAGGAAAAATGTCAATAATGACCTTTGCAGAAATCATTTGTTGAAAATATTGTTGACTTTAGTATTTCTGTTACTGAGTAGGCGATATTTAATTTCAGACAACAAAATTACTACTTTCGGGGGTCAAATTTTGGGTTAAAAATTATGTGGTTTTTTGTGCATTTTTTAGTGTCCCAAATCTGGGGGAAACAGTTTTTGGAAAAAAATCAGTCTTCTTAAGGAGGCTCCACCTTTACGCAATTAGCCAGCAGAATTCAATGAAAGTTTCACATAATGGTTATGTCACTATGTAGAGATGATTTTATGAAAATCTGAGCTCAGGATTTTTTTGTAAAAAATACAGATAAATTGAATTTTTGTCAAATTCAACATTTTCACATTTTTTGAGCATGTGGCATTGTTCAAAACTATTAAAACAATAAAATAATGAAAAGGAACATTGCTAATCAACCATACAAATATTTTATTTACCATAAAATATCTACAACATGTTACAAAAAGCGTTTTTTATTGAAATTGTATGGATAAAAGTTGCTAAATACAAGCTTAAAGCAAACAGGACACATATTTTAATACAAAAAGAGTGAAAAATTGAACCAAATACACACAAAGTCTTTATAATTAATTTATTTTACAATAATTTTGATCCTGATGAGAGTTGTCTACCTTGAACAAAATCAAAACTTTTTGCAGAGGGATAGAATTTATATAATCACACTTATTTTCTTTACTATACCAAAAACGACGGAAATAAATCAAATTACTATATTTATTGTCAATTTACTGTTCTCTTATGGAACAAAATTACTCTCAATCATGTACACTTTGGACATCATTCCATAGCCTGCTTACGCATGGTATATTAACATGTCAGGTACATATGTAAGCTAGGCTATCACATGGTATGCTGTTATTACGTGCACGCACATGCACTTGCATTTTATAGGGATCTTGATATTTTACAAACCACTATTTTCAGAGTTATTGTTATTGCATTTGTGAACCGATTTATCTGACAGTGTAACTCGCTCGACAACAAAAGTCGTAGCAACCAAGAGCTTGTGAACTACTGTTAGCATGTGATACGTACAGGTGAAATCGGTAAACAAAACACACTTCTTGAAGTCGTCTGATCGTATGTCGTGAGTTATTTTATTTTTTTTGTATCATAAGCTTTATTTCTGAAGTACGTGTGATTACACATTTCCAAGTTAAGTCTCGATACCCGGCGTTGACATATTATCGTCACGCACGTGTACTATTGTTTACCCAGTGTTACTATAATTTACACTACGGTAATGGAATGCCCGATACGCAATACGGAAATGACGACACGAAAATACATCAAGAAAAACATGTGTATTACGAAGGGTGGGAAGTCCTTAACAAAATGTTATCAAAATGTAGTTTTAAAAGTTATATATGTATGTAGGTGTGTTGTGCAGGTTGAGTCCACTATCATTGCTTATCTGAGACATGCCCTTTATTTTTAGGATCAGGTCATTTCTGCTGTACTCCCAGTAGGTATACCCCAGTTGGGGATCCAGTATGTGAAAACTAATATGTGGAATGATTAAAGGGAAGTATGCATGATGTGTTTGAATTTGTTAGACATAATTTAGAGGTGTCTGCTCAGCGCATGAGGAATTATTTTGATCAGGGATTAAAACCTCGGAAGTATGATGTTGGGGGTATGTATGGTGTTTCCTGTAAGTTGGGGAAGGGGTGGACCGGCCCATATAGGATAATTTAAATTTTATCCAGGGTTACCTATGTATTGCAGAAAACCCCTTCTACAAACCATATCTCTGTGCATGTTGACCACGTGCACTTGAAACCATATGAGGGGAACTTCAATTGACACCCTCTATTTGGACAGTCGAGCCCGATTTGATATGGTCGGAAATGTCGGTATTAGTATGTGTTCCCAAGTCCAGTCCATATAGATGTCGTCCCCCCCCCTCCTCCTCCTCCAGAACCAGTACGTACCCAGACAGGTAGGGTGGTCAGACCATGGGAAAGTTACTACTGCAAGTAATTCACGTTGTGTGGTACAGTAGTTCTGCTGGGCTCTACTGAGTATTTTGCTGGCATACCACACAACCTTTCCCTCCCAACCTTGAATCTGGGAAAGTATTCCTCCCATACCTACACTACTGGCATCAGTGTCCAATACAAAGTAATCCGTCTCATTAGGATAAGACAAGATTGGAGCAGTGGTCAGCAATTTTTTTAGGGTAGTAAATGCCTTGTCACACTTTCATCCCATTTGAACACACACTCTTTGTGGGTGAGCTTGATGAGAGACGAAGCTATGTGGGCAAAACTTGGGATAAACCGCCTATAGTACCCTGCTAAACCCAGAAAACTCTGTACGTCTGAAACCGAGGTGGGACAAGGCCATTCATGTACAGTCACCGCTGATCCCAGACTCTGAGACAATGTGTCCCAGGTAAGAGACTTCTGTCTGGAAGAGGGTACACTTTTTCGGTTTGAGTTTAAGATTTGCTTCCCTGAGAAATTCAAAAACTTCCCTCAAATTTGATAACGCTACACTAAATGTTGTCCAAAAGTCTATCATGTCATCCAAATAATAAAGACATTTTGAATACGCTAAACCTCCTAAAACGAGGGAGGTAAGACGACAGAAAGTTGCAGGTGCATTCTAGAGACCAAATGGCATAACTCAAAATTCAAAAAAGCCTGCATTATAGTTGCAAATGCTGTCTTATGTTTGTCGCTTTTCGCCATTCGACACTGCCAGTACCCACTCGCTAAGTCCAATGTTGAAAACAACTTGGCCCCTGAGAGAGCATCAAGTGCATCATGCAGAATCATTTTTCAGAATCAAGCTAGTCCACCTGAAGATTTCATTAGCTTCAAGACTACCCTAATTGTATAGCCCTGATATAAGTAAACAGCCTAGGCCTATTGATTGTGGAGTGCTAACACTGTCAGAAAAACTTTAACCTTAATTTTGTTCAAAATTTTGACCAAGTGCAATGAAGTTGCTTTGACCCCGAAAATATGGTTCAGTATGTTGCTTTCATGCAATATAAATGCCTTAATCTTATATATAATAGTCATCAGCCTCTTGACTGTGGTGATCTAACATTGTCTGAAAAAAATTCTTTAACCTGCAGTGTGGTGCAGACACTAAGCCCTGAGTGACTTCATTAGTCTGTCCACTATTCTCCTAATTGATGAGCTAAAAATATAGTATGAAAAAAGATATTCATTCACACAATAAATATAAATTATACATAAAGACTTCAGACATGCAGTCTACCTAGATATTCTTTCACACAATAAATTATACACAAAGACTACACACATACAGTATACCTAGATATTCATATACATTGCGTGTCTAATTGCATTCTACTCACGGTGATGAATATGATTCCTTGAAAAATGGCTGAACTGTGTGAATCCAATAAGACTTACACTGAACTTACACCAGTAAGTATGTCCATCTCCCCTGATGTCAATGGAGGTAATAGTAACATTGTCTGTAACTCCCAATCGGATGAGTTAAGAACATTTGACAAAGCTCTTTTGGGTCTTCCAAAAGACGTATACATCTCGACGTTGTTGCAGCTTTCTGACAACTCAGAAAGCAAAATTGCGTGGTACCGGGCAATATT